CGCAAACAGCAGAGATGAAATCCTGTGGTCTCCGAACCGGACCCCCTCCGACCCCTGGCTGCGCCTAGATATTCTGTCCATAAATACAGTGAACAGAACCGGTGACAAAGGGCAGCCCTGTCGGAGGCCAACATTCACCGGGAACAGGTCTGACTTACTGCCGGCAATGCGAACACAGCTCTGGCTCTGGTCATACAGGGATCGGATGGCCCTCAGCAGAGGCCCTCCGACCCCGTACTCCCGTAGAACCCCCCAAAGGACACCCCGGGGAACACAGTCGAACGCCTTCTCCAAATCCACAAAGCACATGTGGACAGGTTGGGCGAACTCCCATGAACCCTCGAGTATCCGATGGAGAGTATAGAGCTGGTCCAGTGTTCCGCGACCGGGACGAAAACCACACTGCTCCTCCTGGATCCGAGATTCGACCATCGGCCGTAACCTCCTCTCCAGTACCTTGGAGTAGACCTTACCGGGGAGGCTGAGGAGTGTGATCCCACGATAATTGGAACACACCCTCCGGTCCCCCTTCTTGTAGAGAGGGAGCACCACCCCGGTCTGCCACTCCATTGGCACTGCCCCCGATCGCCACGCGATGTTGCAGAGACGTGTCAGCCAAGACAGTCCTACAACATCCAGAGACTTTAGATAATCAGGGTGGATCTCATCCACACCCGGAGCCTTGCCACCATGGAGGCTACCAACCACCTTGGTGACCTCAGCCAGGGAGATGGATGTACCCGCCCCAACATCCTCAGCCTCTGCCTCTGTAACAGAGGACGTGACGGGGGGATTGAGGAGAACCTCAAAGTATTCCTTCCACCGCCCGACAATATCCCCAGTCGAGGTCAGCAGCTCTCCACCCGCACCGTACATGGTGTTGGCAAAGAACTGCTTCCCCCTCCTGAGGCGCCGGATGGTTTGCCAGAATCTCTTCGAGGCCGACCGATAGTCATGCTCCATGGACTCTCCGAACTCCTCCCAGTCCCGGGTTTTTGCCTCTGCAACAGCCCGGGCCGCGGCACGCTTGGCCTGCCGGTACTGGACAGCTGCCTCAGGAGTCCCCCGAACCATCATGGCTCGATAGGACTCCTTCTTCAGCCTGACAGCATCCCTTACTGCCGGTGTCCACCACCGGGTTCGGGGGTTGCCGCCGGGACCAGCACCAGAGACCTTGCAACCACAGCTACGAGCCGCCGCATCGGCGATTGAGGCAGAGAACATGGTCCACTCGGACTCCATGTCCCCCTCCTCCGCCGGGACCTGAGAGAAACTCTCCCGGAGGTGTGAGTTGAAAGTCCGTCTGACAGGGGGCTCAGCGAGACGTTCCCAGCAGACCCTCACTATACGCTTGGGTCTGCCAGGTCTGACCGGCTTCTTCCCCTGCCAGCGGATCCAACTCACGACCAGGTGATGATCGGTTGACAGCTCCGCCCCTCTCTTTACCCGAGTGTCCGAGACACGCGGTCGATCATCGACCTCCGGCCTAGGGTGTCCTGGTGCCACGTGCACTGGTGGACACCCTTGTGCTCGAACATGGTGTTCGTGATGGACAAACCGTGACTGGCACAGAAGTCCAACAACTGAGCACCGCTCGGGTTCAGATCAGGGGGGCCGTTCTACCCGATCACCCCTCTCCAAGTGTCACTGGCGTTTCCCACATGGGCGTTGAAGTCCCCCAGGAGAATAACGGAGTCCCCGGGCGGTGCACCGTCCAGTACCCCTCCCAAGGACTCCAATCCTAAACACTCTCGATAAGAGTGTTTAGGATTAAACACTCTTATCGAATATCGCACTAATTTCCAAAATCGTGCAGCCCTATTTTTTGCTCCACTTTATGTATAATTGTTTTGTACCACTCTTGGTTGGGTCATAAAATGTTCTATTGTTTACCATGCTGCACCAATTTGCAATTTATTAGTTTGTAATACTTGTTTTTGTCAGATTTTAATTAAAACATTTGCAATGCATTAAAGTACATAAGAAGTAGAGTGTTTGAGAATTGAGCTCACAGCTCATCACAAAGTTTGTTCTTGTAATTTATGTTGTTAAAATAAATGTTCTCTTACCATTGGAGGAGTTTTGGCCCTGTTTGTATAGTGATGTCATCATGTACAACCAGTAAGTAAAATCATGTGGTAGGAATATGGTCAAACGGGATAGCCTGGCTCCAGCCGACCTCTAGCCCCGCCTATATAATTCTTAGTTACCTAATATAACTGTAGTTCTACGAATGGTGCGTAGCCCCCTAGGAGGCTACGCTATTGAATATGACTCCTAGAGGCCCCAGCCTCCCGCCAGAGAGAAATCAATGCTCCAATCACGGGCGAGCCCCCTCCATAAATAGCCCCGTGCATACTGCTGTCTTCACTTTGAACTCTGCCAAAGCCAGACTGGGCTGATGGGCTCGTAGCTAAGGGCCTACGCACCATTCGTAGAACTACAGTTATATTAGGTAACTAAGAATTCTACTTCATGGTGCTCCGCCCCTTTGGAGGCTACGCTATTGAATAATAACGCGTAGGCCGTAGGAAAAATGTACTCCCATCAGGCCAGCGTAGAGTGATTAAAGCCCTGCCCGAGATACCCCCAACACCTCCAAGGTGAGTGGCCTCAGGGCAGGAAGAAGGAATCCAACACAGTGTTAAAGGCCGCTCCTACCAAGGACGCCTGTAAAAACACTGACGAACCTCAAGGCAAGCACCACAGGGTTAAGGCCGCTCCTATCAAGGACGCTCAAGACCCCTGGGAATGCGGGCCGCATTCCCAGGACGCCTCTCCCAAGAGCTCCCGAAGGGAAGGCCGGAACGCCCCAGAGGGACAAGGTCACACCAGAGTCCCAGGACGCCTCTACCAAGAGCTCCTGAAGGACCACATGCTGCCCACGAGGAAAAATTAGGGCAGACCAACCCCAGGATGCCTCTATCAAGAGCACCTGAATGGGGCGGCCCTGACCCCACACATATATAAAAGGAATATATATGTACATAAAACCCACACAGACCGTAGGTTGCCTCTCCCGAGAGCACCTCACGGTCCTAATCCGATTCCAGCGTTCAGAACGGAGTGGGCAACCGACCGTTCCGACACGTCAATCAGATACGACTGAGCAAAGTAGAGGACAATGCCCAGGACGCCGCCTGGCAGACGTCCTCCACCGTGGCACCCCGGAGCAGAGCCGTGGAAGCCGTGGAAGCCGCAACCCCCGCGTGAAATGTGCCCTGAATCCCACTGGGGGAACCAACCCCTGAGCCTGGTAGCCATGCAGACCGCTCGGGAACCCCAGTGCGCCAGCCCTTGGGAGGTCAACGGGGCGCTCCTGTTCTTAGGACCCAAACACACAAACAGCTGATCAGAACGCCTGAATGCAGCTGTAACGTCCAGGTAGCATCTCAACATCCTGATTGGACCTTCAGGTCCCAGACCGGACGTGTCCTCCTTAGGACGGGCCTCTTTCTGCGGGCCCCCTCGAAGGAAGCGGTTGACCAACGGGTGGGACCGGGCCGAAAAGCTCCCAAACCCCCCGTGACCTGAGGCAATGGCTGACACGAACACCGCCAAGGTGCCGGCAGCCCTCCCTTACTCCAAAGGTTCCTGAAGAAAATCCCAGAACTCCCTCAGGAGGGCAGGACATGGGGTCCCAAGAGCGCACCGCGTACCAGGCATTGAAAACCTTCCACCTACAGCCATAGGCCCTGATAGTGGAAGGGGCCCTCGCACCCTTAAGGGTCTCCACCACCTACGGAGGGAGGCCCAGGTCTACGAGGTTCCGCCTCTCAGCCTCCAGACCCAGAGTCTATGGCCCCGCACCGGGCGCGAGTGAAGCGCCTCTCCTCCCAAGGCTCGTCCGGGAGGGGCCACGGCCCCATCACCACCATGTCCCTCAGGAGCGGGAACCAGCGGGCATGCGGACTGTCCGGAGCGACCAGAATCTCCTCCCGCTCAATCCTCCTCAGCAGAATCGGTATGAGTCGGGTAATGAGCCAGAGCGTCCACCCCCAGGAGCAGATCGTCTGTGGCCCGCTGCGCGAACCAGAGCGGGCGTTGAGCGTTGTCTGCACTGGCAAATAGGTCGACCACTGGATGACCGAATCTCAGCCAGACCTCTGCAGCCATCCGTGGGGCCAGGCCCCACTCCTCCCCGAGTGGGGCCCCTCTGAACATCAGGTCCGCCCCTGTGTTCCAGTCTCCCGGAACGTGGCGTGCTCTCAGAGACTGCAGATGCACCGTTGCCCAGAGCAGAATGATCGTTGCCGGGGGGAGGGGTACCACGTGCCCCCCTGTCTGTTCAGATACACCACCACGGTGGTGTTGTCCAAACGCACCCTCACATGCCTCCCCTCCAGCTGTGGAGCAAAGTGCAGCAGCACTCTGCGCACTGCCTCCATCTCCAGCTCTGCACCACAGCAAGGGCCGCCGCCATCATCCCCAGGAGCGATCTGAGGCTCCAAACGGGCACTCTGGGAGTGGTCACGCCTCCTTGGCCAGGCGGGTGAAGTTCCCTCGACTGTTCTCAGATAACGCAGATCGGCACCCCACAGAGTCCAACTGCAGACCGAGATAGACCAAGCGCAGGGCAGGCTGCTGCCTGCTCTTATCCCTGTTCACTACAAAGCCCAGACGTTGTATGTGTGACAGAAACCAGCGCGTTTGATCCGTGGCCATCTCCCTGGACGCGGCCAAAATTAACCAATCGTCTATGGAGGTTAATATCCTGACCCCTGCGCGTTTGAGCGGCTCCAAGGCCGCCTCAAGGCACTTGAAGAAGGTGCGCGGAGCCAGCGCGTACCCAAACGGGATGCGGCAAAAACTCGTAACGTTTCCCTCCCACAGCGAAGTGCAGAAGTGTATGTGCTCTGTCACTATCGCTATGTGGAATAGGCGTCTGTCAAGTCTATGGCAGACATCCAATCCCCGGGCCTGACGCACTTCAGCAGCTGCTTCGTGGAGAGCATGCGGAACGTTTGGAGATGCACTAGTTTAATGTGCACAGATCCAAGATGGGGCGCACCCCTCCTGACTTCTTGGGCACCAAGAAGTACGGGAACTACAGCCCCTTGGGGAGTACAGGACCTGGAAAACTTGCCCCGAGTACCCCCCACTCTCCTGGTGCTCCCACAGGAGAGAGAGAGGGGGGGGGGGGGTGCTCCAAAGGGGGTTTCCCTAAACGCTATGCTGCGTGAGACAGATGGGTCCAGACCCTCTGTCCCACTTACAGCAGCCTGACTCTTATGTTTCATTCCCCTCAGTGGATGAAACGCTTGTCATATCAGAGACTGGAGTAGAGGTAAGAATCGTAGCAGTCTGACTCGCACGCATTAAGCCTCCCCGAGAGGAAAAAGTGCTAGACCTGCTAGTACCTTGAGCGGTGGTCTGGACTAGCCTGTCCCACTCGTAGCAGCCTGACTCCTACGCTTCACTCCCCTCCGAGAGGATGAAGCGCTAGCCTCACTATTGCCTGGAGTAGTGATCGGGACAATAGCAGTCTGACTCTCACGCTTCATCCCTCTCTGAGAGAATGAAATGCTAGTCTCACTATTGCTTCGAGTAACGGTCTGGACTGGCCCCTGCAGACCGCTCTCCACCAAGGGTGAATGAGCTGTTCACGAGACAACACTGCCCTCTACCTGTGTGGGTATGTCATGCAGGAACATGGAGACTCTCACAGCTCTCGAAACAGCTCTCGAATCCAGAATTTAGGCGGACCCTGTGGGACATGCTGTGCGAGACAGAAAGGGTTATCAGAACCCCTGTCCCACTTATAACAGCCTGACCCTTGCGCTTCACTCCTTTCCGAGAAGATAGAGGGCTGGTCACACTCGTATCTGGAGCAGTGGTCTGGTCTGGCTGCTGTAAACCACTCAGTCAAATGTGCCTGAGCTGTTCGTGAAACAACACTGCCCTCTACCTGTGAAGGCATTTCATGCAGGAAGATAGGCTAAGCCCGCGCCAACCGGAGGAGCGCCGCTGATGCGGTCTTGGCCTCAGACAGGTCTTTGCCGCTGAGCACCCAGCCCGCGGAGAGATTTGTCAAGCGCTCCGTGAGGAAGGCCCTGTTGTTAGCCAACGTGACCACCTGAGACGCGTTGGCGTAGCATTTATCCAGGGCAGACATTGACATCCTATCCCGCTCAGAGGTAAGGAGAGGTCTACTGCCTGGCCACATAGAAGACTTGGGCAGCAGCGCCATAGTCTCACTGCGTCTCCCACGTCTGGGATCCCGCCGGGCCAGCACCAGTCTTGGACGGTGCAATAGGGGCCATAACCCAGAGCAGGCCGCTTGGCTGCCAGGGGTCTGGACCAATTGCGTGTCCCGTAGTGAATCACCGGGTCCATACGCGGACACAGCGTGGGTGTCAGCCTCTCTCTCCCCGTTCAGAAGCGCCCACAGACGTGAAGTCAGTCTGGGTGGGTTGCGAAGGGGAGGGAACTCCATGCGCCTGCCGCAGCTGCAAGGGGGCTGGGCATGTGATCGAGCGGGAACGGTCCTGTCCCTCGCACCAGGAAATGGCTTCATCTAGAGTGACTAAGGAACCCAGGTCCTCGTTGAACTCGTTCTCCATGACGCAGCCTCCCCACTCTCTGGGTGCAGGAGGCCGTTCGAGATAGACAAAATGAACCTCAGACTCCTCTTCCTGAAAGGAGTTTGGGCGAGATTCCGCGGCGCTAGCATGAGCCACGCTGTGCTCTCTCTCTCCTCCCTGGGGAGATAGAAGCACGCCCTGTAGGCAGCGCTCTCCTCAAAATGGCCTCCTCCCGCGTGACGAGAGACCCCTAGTCTTTGTCACCTCGGTCTCCACAACACAATCTCCCACTGCCTGGGTGCAGGAGACGGGTCGAGAGGGACATAATGAACCTCAGACTCCTCTTCCTGAGGGGAGTCTGGGCAAGTCTCCACGGCGCTAGCATGTGCCACGCGGTGCTCTCTCTCCTGACTGGGGAGAAAGAAGCATGCTCTGTGGGCAACGCTCTCCTCTTCTTTTTAGATAAGCTTACCTGGGCAAGCGCTGCACTTCTTTGTCCGACGCCGGAGGCCGAAGTGGAACTCGGACGAAAGCAGAAGGCAGCAACATCTTGATTCTTCAGAGTAGAGTGATCTCTCTATGGCGCCAGAGTTCAAAGTGAAGACAGCAGGCTGCACGGGGCTATTTATGGAGGGGGCTTGCCCGTGATTGGAGCATTGATTTCTCTCTGCCGGGGGGTTTGGGGCCTTTAGGAGTCATATTCAATAGCGTAGCCTCCCAAGGGGCGGAGCACCATGAAGTAGAATGTAGGCTGGAGCTAGGCTACAAACAAGATGTAATTTTGAAAATCTTTTGCAAAAGCTAAATATAATCATGTTGACTGTTTTGTTAAAAGTAAAGCTTAAACTGTCACATGCACTGTATTTTAGGAATCTTGTCTTGTCTTCCTCCAGGGAGCAGGTGCGGGTGAACGGCTTTGGCATGTTTGTTTTCGTGGTATATCCAGGTGCTTTTGTCGACCTCTTCACCACTCATCTGAACCTCATCTCTCCAACGCAGCAGCTTCGAATCTTCTGTGCTGGTGAGAGCAGTTAAAGGAGCAATATGTCAAAAACAGGCCAAACAAATCCAGCTGGGACCATAAAAGCTGAATAGACAAAGATTTTTGTCAACAACAAATCTAAAACCAACTACTTTTTCACAAAGGCATCCCAGATAGAAATCCTCGTTTTATTCTTGGTTTTGTCATTAATTATTTGAGAATTATAACAAGAACTTTTTTTGACCCTGACCAGTGAGATTAGCCTCTTAACAACCGCCTCATTTTGGCTCGTGCACAATGGTTGGGCATACCCAAATGTCTTTGCTTATTTAAAAACACATCTTACATCTCACATGCTTGTGTGATGCATCATTTTAAAGCTAGAGCCTTCTAGTTTATGTAAAAAAACACTAAAATAATGTTTGTCATTCCTATTTTCCTCTGCATCCTTTGAAGTTAGGGAAAAAACCCCAATTTTTTTAGCCTCGCCTAACATTTTCAATGTCTAAAGGCCCTAAAAAAGGCATACTTCATTGTAAGTTCACAATATTCAAACCCTCTGTTCATTGTGTTGTTGACAACAACTGTCTAAAGTTTCAGACTTCTAAGTTTTATAGTTTTTATGCAGTTTCTCCTTTTCATCAAGTAGTGCACATTTGGCACAATTTGGCACAAGTGTGCCAAATTGTGCCAAATATCTTTACTTACATTTAATCATCATAAAAACAATATTTTTTATTATTGGTACTTATAAGTTACTAATCTATGTGTGTTTTTCTTTTTTTAAATGTCAAAGTTATTTTTTTATGAGTGTAAATTCATTGCAGCTTCGGGAGCGTCTTTTGGCTGCCATGACGCACAATGGTCCAGGCCCAAGATAAGACAGGACACCATTGTCCCACCCCTTGTTCGAAAGCTTTCCTCATTGGCTACAAGGACATGTCAATCGTAAATCCCGGAAGTAAACGTAAACAAGTTGGGACCCCACAAAAGATTAGCCACCAATGCGCAAACAGCAGCGCTAGCGTTATTTGCGGGTCCTATTGCAGACCCAAAAATTGGTCTAGCTTTTCGGGAGTAGTCTCATTTGAAAGATAAGGAGCTAAGGAACACGTAGATACCAGATGTTCGGGTGAAAAACAAAGCTAAAAGTCCGTTACAAGTGAAAGAGTAACATCTGTGCTCTTTTTTTTCGTTTTTTTCGCTAAAGATAAATGCACATTTTTGGATTATTTCTGCAGAATGGATTTTACTTTGGGAAATACAAGTGGATATAATTTTCCTTTGGACTGTTCCAGAGAGAATGATGTATTGCAAGCTGGGAGGAGAGCTGATTTATTTGTACAGCACAAGCCCAAAGGTAAAGAACTATTTCCGAATTGATTTATTTTGTGCCCACATTATGTGTTATATCTTTTGAATGCAAAGTCTGATGTAGTTTACACTTGTATGTAAATGTAGATAAGAAAATAAGCTTTAAAATGATATACAGCTTTTGGGGTTTGGTGTTCAAAATACATCTGCTATTGCCAGCAGAACATTTAAAAACATAAAAACAACCCGCCGGCGGGTTGGTGGTTGCTAAGTGGTTGACACGGTGAGTTCTAGCAACACGGATCATAGACAGATTCAAGGGCTGTAAAACAAATGTTTAAATTCAAATATCCCGACTGAACTACTGTTAACAGTTAAAGACGTATGTTTTTTGTTTGCTATCACAAGTTCTCTCAATTGGACAATGCTTTTCTTTTGTAATTCTTTTTTATTGTTATTTGTTACAAGAAAAACTTAGTTTCACACATTGTTAACATATTTTTAATAACCAGAAAAAACAAACAAAAAATAGACAGAAAAATAAAAAAAGAAACACAAATAGCAAAGGGGTGCATAGAATATATTCCAACTGATTATTACAGAATCATACAAATTCCGGGCGTTTGGGTATAATGTACGTCTTCCATTGTATTGTCCATATTTTGTCAAATTTCTCATTTTGAAGCCATTTATAGCGGGTTATTTGTTCCATTACAAAATAGAATACACCAAATTATGCCAGTCATCTATAGTCGGAACCTTGATGGATTTACGAGGTGCTAAACATAACATTCCAAATAGGCGTTTTGTAGCAAAGTCCGTATTCAGAGTCAAGACTGCCGAATAGCTGTTCGTCCCAGTTTAAAGCAAATTGCAACTTAAGCATTATTCGGATCTCAGATTGAATATTGTTCCAATAATTCTGGATTAATGAACACGACCAGAACAGATGCAGGTGGTCGGCCCCCTCTGTACCGCAACTCCTCCAGCAACTGGATGAGCCTGAATAGTGAAAACTTTGTGCTGGTGTTATATAATCATACTGGAGAACGGACAATTAGAGACTGAGGTCTTCAGAAAGTCCACTCACACTGACCAGTACCTGGCCTTTGACTCAAATCATCCGCTACAACACAAACTCGGGGTCATTAGAACGCTTCAACACCGAGCCCACCAGGTCCCCACAAGCTCGGAGGGAAAGAACAGAGAAACCAAACATGTTCAGAGAGCACTTTCCAGATGTGGCTTCCCCAAGTGGTCTTTTACCAAAGCCCAAAGGACGAGAAAGGCCAGAGACACAGTCCAACAGACAGAAGAAAGTAGGAGGAGAGGCGTTTCCTTACCGTATGTGGCGGGAGTTTCAGAGAAACTACAAAGAATCTTTAGGCAACACAAAATCCCTGTGTATTTCAAACCTTTCAACACGTTAAGACAGAAATTAGTGCATCCCAAAGACAAAACACCCAGACACAAACAGAGCAATGTGGTGTATTCAATTAAATGTAGTGAAGAGGAGTGCACTGACCACTATATTGGAGAAACCAAACAAACTCTACAGAAACGACTTTACCAACATCGTAGAGAAAACTCTAGTGGGCCACAGTCGGCTGTTCATCTCCACCTCAAGGCCTCCAACCACACGGTGGATGACACAGAGGTTAAAATTCTGGCTCGGGAGAAGAATTGGTTTGAGAGAGGGGTGAAAGAAGCCATTTTTGTGAGGAAACAAAAACCTTCTCTTAACAGAGGAGGAGGGTTAAGATTTGTTTTGCCTCGCATCTATGACGACATCCTAAAAACAACGCCCTAACTTGGGACAATGTCAGTGACATGCTAATGAGTTAGGAGGGGTGAGACCTGCACTCCACTTGAGCATCCCAGCAGACAATAGGTTTGTGACATGCTAAGGAGTTAGGGTCGTTAGCCTCAGCAGGGTCGTTAGACCTGCTCCCTTCTACATCAAGCAGACCGTAGATTGTTTATGAGTTAGTATCAGGATTAGGGTGTGGCTAACCACACCCATAGGTTATAAATCTCCAACGCGCGGTCCGAGAATTCATTCCCTGAAGAAGTCCGCTAGGTTGAGGACGAAACGTCGGGAAAACTTGCTAAGAAGTACAGATGATGGGTGAGAAACCTTCCTTTGCTTTGACTAATCCCTGTACGACTGAGAGCTTACACAAACTCATATCCAGTTGGCTCGGCACAAAACCAAGGTCATTAGGGGCCCACCTTTAGTATTTTGACATGATCAAAAAGATTGTGTTTTTTTTTACACATTTCAGCTTCATTGGTAATTTTATAAATTGGTTATCTTGCTGCATCTGTTTCCTAATGAGTCTTTTATCCCCCAGTTTGGCCAGGAGTGTACTGGACAGTGCTTTTCAATGTAAACCCCTCCAATATCCAATAGAAGGTCACACCAAGATTTTGCCATTAGCTACATATTAAATCTAGCAATCAGTAAAATTGACTTTTAATGGAGCGTTTCGTTAAGCTGGCTGTGAGTCTCTCATGAATGTGATGACAGCTGTTCGGAATATTGAGTAAAACTAGGCCTTAATAATGAGCATATTTTCTTATTAACGCTAAATGTAATTGCTCTCACAATATAGGTATGAAGACTAGGCATGTAAAAAACTATGCATTTTCATGACAGACCACCGAGCCTCATTAACCGGTTGAAACCGGTTAATGAGTTAAAAATATTCCACATTCTTTGAAATAACAGCTTTTTCGAGCCGCGTACTTTCCATAAGTGCAGCTATGCGTTCTACTAGATCAGAGCCGAGACAGCGGAGCGATACCTGCAACAGCTTCGGCACCTTTGCGGACAGAGAACTGCTTTTTTAATCTTCCTATTCTTTTGTGCTGCGGGTTAAAAGATTTTTAGCAGCCAACGACAGCTCGTTCACATGGTAAGAGCAGCGAGTGACGAGCCGCGTCTCGCAGGTCTCCTCTAAAGTTTGAATACAAGTGATGTGTGTGGAGCTGATCTAATGACAAGGACCATCAGCACAAACATGTGTTTTGACTGGAGCCGTGTCGAGGGGTCGCAAATCAGAATCAGGAAGTCAGACTTGGAAATTGTTTTGGCTCAGTGCAACAGTCAGAAAGAGAGGTAAGGGTAGAGAAGGCATAATAAAAAATAAAGAATAAAGCACTTCTAAGGAATACATTTAAAATAGTTACAATTACTCTATACAATATACAAGTGCACATGGTGCACACAATGTAATGTGACAGCAGTACAGTGAAGTAAAGTGACGCATGATGGGCAGTAAAGTGACATTATTAAGGGCAGTAAAGTAACATTATAAAGAGCAGTAGGGGACTTCTAGAGGGCGGGGAGACAGGTTGTGAAGTGTTTGAGTCCAACAGCAGAGGGGAAGAAACTGTTCTTATGGCAGAAGGTTCTAGTCCTGATGGACCGCAGCCTCCTGCCTGAGGGGAGTGTTTGGAATAGTCCATGTGCTGGGTGAGATGGGTCAGCAGTGATACGACCAGCCCGGCCTCGAGCTCGGGCGACGTTCAGGTCCTGCAGCGATGGGAGGCTGCGGCCAATCACCTTTCTGCAGAGCTCACGATGCACTGTAGCCTCTGTTTTTCCCTGACTGTGGCTCCAGCGAACCACACAGTGATGGAGGTGAGGATGGACTTGATGATGGCCGTGTAGAACTGCACCAACATCTGTGCAGGCAGCTTGGCTTTCCTGAGTTGCCGCA